CGCAAATTGGAGTGCGCACTGGATCCCCCTCCCGGCCTAGCTGCCCAAACAACCTGAATCGTGGACAATGAGGAACAACCTTGCCTGCACAGGGGCTCACCCACATTGAAGCTGTATACAGCAGAAGGATGCCAAAGGGTCTTCGCCTAGTGACACTGGTATTGCTTCTAGGCGCTCCCAGGTTGAGGGTAGGTTTCGTAGGTGCTTCAGTCTGGAAGGTCAAGTGAGTGCGCAAGGGTGAGGGTAGGTCTGCAGGGTTTTTAAGTTTTGGTTATTAGAGGTTGCAGTCTTCATGTTGATTTTACGCAGTACTTGTCCAATCTTAGTGTTTGAGATTTGCGCCGAGCTTCTGATATACTAAAGCTGCAGTGCTTTGAAACATGTGGAGATCTCGACTCTTGCTACCAGCTTTGATCTGGCGAAAGATTCAGCCATGAAACCCTTCTTGGTGCAATTGGAACAAAGCAAGGTCTGAAGTGTGTATAGTTGTCACAGGTCTCAAAGACGGGGCCCAGCGGTTCTGTAAGCTGGTGGGAGCTTGCCGTTGCGAGCGTTTGGTCTGCTTAGCACACTAATGAACAGGAATCGCACACTCGGGTCCTACGAAGGAGCTGGGCCGAGCTAAGGGCTTGGAACTAAGGCGTCGACGCTGAGGAACAGGAATCGCATTCTCAGGATCCACTTAGGAGTTGAGACCAGCTAAGGAACTACAACTAAGGCAATTACAAAGCACCCAAGTGTTCAAAACTGAGGCAAACTACCAAGCGCTTCCAGCCATCAGTTGGCCTGATATCTGTGGCAGTGAGCTCGAGCCAGTGTGTGAGCTACCTCTTACTACCGGCAGACGCTGGTTATTCCTATTCTGCTTGAGGACTAGTAGGTTCGCGTTTCCAACCATCGTTTGGCCTCATCTGTGTGGCAGTGAGCTTGAGCCAGTAGGGGCTGGAGGTTGGCCCCTTTTGCGTTTGGTGTGAGAGCGATCAGGGGCTGGCAGGGCTGGAGCCTCTCCAGCCCCGTTAAGTGCCTCCAGCACAGCTGAACCGAATTACAACGCAAAGCAAAAGCAAGCCAGGTGGCCCCTCCAGCCTCCAACCCCTCCAGCCCCTCCAGCCCCTCCGGTGTGAGAGCGATAAGGGCTGGAAGGGCTGGAACCTTTCCGGCCCCCTGATGCCCTCCAAGCCGCATTTCTTATCGCTCCCACCTTCAAACCGAACGCAAAGCAAAAGGGAAACCTCCAGCTCCTCCAGCCTCTCAGCCCCTGCTTTGTGTTTGGTTTGAGGATGGGCTGGGGGGGCTGGGGCTGGAGGGGCTGGAGGTTTTGAAAGCGAGAAGGGGCTGGAGGGGCCTCTCCAGCCCCTTCAAGCCCCTCCCTCCAGCTCAGCTGACCGAATCTTATCGCTACAAAGCAAAAGGGTCCAGGTTGCAGCCCCTGCTTTTCAAGGGCTGGAAGGGCTGAGCCTCTCTCCAGCCCCTTCAAGCCCCTGCAGCTCAGCTATCGCTCCCACCTTGAAAGCGAACGCAAAGCAAAATGAAGCCTCCTGTTTTCAGTCAGTTTGGTTTGAGGATCAGCTGAGCTTGATCAGCTGAGATGGAGGGGCTAGAGCAAAGCAAAAGGAAGCCTCCAGCTCCTCCAGCCCCTCCAGCCCCTGCTTTGCGTTTGGTTTGAGGAAAGGAAGAAATTCGGCCCAGCTGAACAGGAAGTGCAGGAAGGGCTGGAGGGGCTGGAGGGGCTGGAGGTTGGCTCCTCCGCCCTAGCGTGACTGAATTTCTTATCGCTCCCACCTTCAAACCCAACGCAAAGCAAAAGGGAAACCTCGGCTCCTCCATCCACGAATCAGCTTCAACAGCTGAGCAGGGGTTGGAGGGGCCGCCAGCCCCTCCAGCCCCTCCACGTTCAGAGTGACAGCGATAAGGGGCTGGAGGGGCTGGAGCTCTCCAGCCCCTTTACTTCTCGCGAATTTCTTACCAAACGCAAAGCAAAAACGAAGCTGGCTGGAGGGGCTGGAGGTGGAGCCCCGCCCCTCCAGCCTCCAGCCAACCCCTCCCCTCCAGCCACTCCAGCCCCTCCGGTGTGAGAGCGATAAAAGGCCCCTCCGGCCCCTCCAGCCTCCAACCCCCCCAGCCTTCCAGCCCTTCTCCAGCACCTCCAACAGGTGAAGAGGAGCAAAGAAAGATTGAGGAGCGATAAGAAATTCGGGCCAATTTGGACCCTGGGTTAAGAAATTCCAGTATGGCCAGCCCCTGATTTCTTGTTTGGAACGATTTCTTATTGAGTGCACTCACCGTATTCTGCTTGAGGACTAGTAGGGTCGAAAAATCCGCTTATGTTTGTTTCGCCCTTTACGGAGTATTTGTTGTTGTTCCACCCTGACTGAAATCTAAGGGCTGTCTGAGGACTTGACTTCTTTACCTACTTTACATGCCAAGTAAGAGAGCAGGGGGGCACCGGGGGGAATATGTGGTCGGTGATCAACGAAGACAGCACATATTCCCCGGTGAAAACGTACCGGCGAGTAAGCCAAATTCAGCCGCTTGTTTGATGAAATCCGTTTTCAAACTCGCAAGCCCTGCAGTTTACAAAAGCAGACTACATGTTCCTCAGTTTCTACCCCGAACTTGGACCACGGCAAAAGACTGCACAAACATGCAACGAAATTTTCGGATCTTTCCTCCATGTTGTTGTTGTTGAACTTGAAATTTGGATTGCTTCTTTGAAAACCGGTGCAGTGCGGCGCAGGCACCGGACGAGCATACATGCGGCAGCACTCCAGAGCACTGGAGCCGCTAGACCTGCGAGAAGCTCTGATGTTGTGCAATCGCACGGGTGAGGTTAAGACACTGGAAGGAGATGCTGAGTGGGCAGTTAACTGAAGTAAAATATTGGCTGCCTCACGATGCGAGCATTCCCAGCAGAGGCCATGCAGGCTGGATGCAGACTTGGTCTTGGGCGTTGTGTCAGTGTACCTTGCTCGTGACGCTGTGGCACGGAACATGGGTGCAGTCAATGGGAGCCAAGGGTCGGCCGGTGACGATGTGGTGGTACGTGGCCAGACAATTTTACCCCGCTTTGCTGCAAGGGAGAGTGAAGAGCGAACGACAACACGACTAGGCGTGCTGAGCGGAGGGTAAGAAGGATATGAAGGGTCTGGAAGGAATTTGGGGAGGTGTTGACGAGGATACCTACAGAGCGGCAGGTCAGGTGCGGAACCGAGAAGACCAGGCCAACTATGGAGGTGAAGAATGTGAAGAAGTCACGGCTTCAAGGGGGGTGAAGCACTGCAGAGGACGAGGACAGCAGCGGAGGGTGTTGACAAGGCCGCAATGAGCACAAAGTTAGCTTATAAGCTTGCGTGGTTTTGCTAGACAGGAGATGGATCCAAGCTAGCAACTACCGACGAGCACGCACCCAAACAGCGAAGAAGGAGGAGATCAGGGCCATGAAGCGCTCATTTCACAGAGTGGCTTTCCATGGGCTAGATTCCTAGCGCGACAACAGGCTTTTGAATCCGTTGGCCAAAGCACCCCGGAAAACGCTCTTAAATCTGACGTATCTCCAGGTATGCTGCGGTGGACGCAGAAGTCTGCACAGGGCACAGGTATTCAACAGGGATGCCCACTGTTGGCCATTAATTTTGGTTAAAATCATCCCTATTGTCGCAGAAGGCGTTAATCGCGAACTTTTCTGCCGACAGTTACCACTCATACTGGGCCAGTTCATCGACCCACATTTTACATCGCAGATGCGGATGATACTTTGCTCCTTGTTGTTGGGATCAGCCGCAGTGCAGCTGGAGCTCATGTTAGTTACACGCGGTTGAAGATGCGGCTCAGTATGGCATGTCCCCGCATAAGGAAGAGCTGTTCTGAGGCGCACCGCGCCAAGTATCAAACTCCTGAACATGGACAAGCAACGGGGCCCACAAATTACGCAAACTAAGTGTCCAGCTTCCATGATCTCCTTGAATGATATCTTGCACCTTGCCTTTCTGAGAAAGAGTTTGCAAGACAGGCCCGTGAGAGTGCCTGGTGGCTTTGGATTCTGGCCATGTGCAAGCTCGGATGGATACAAAATTGCCATCTAACAGAAATGCTATCTACATCGATGACAACTACTGTCGGTATTTGGCGGGCTTGCCCCAGCAAGCTTGGACTCGTTGCACCAAAACAAAGGCAGGTGAAAATGCACGTCATCATTTATGGAAGCACGTTGGTACTGAGGCTGCCAGCAGTATGCTCAACACTTGCACTTGCACACGTCTTTGGCATGCAGTTTCGAGCGGACCAGGATTGTTTTGAAGCTGTTCTGGTAGTGGGGAAGAGTTGTGATGCTTGGCGCTGCATCAGGCTAAATCCCCACCTGGACGTCAAGGGCTTCCCTTGTTTCTTTGACACAGAGGCCACAAGCTGCAGGAAGTGACACGAGTAGGTGGAGACGCTTGCAGCCAGTCATCTTGATTATGCAGCATGAGTTCTCAATCTTGCTTCGGCCGCAGCATTGCTCACAGTTGGTTTCCCCCAGTACCTGAGCGTTACCGGCGGCCTGTGGTGGCACGCCATGGCTACCACTACGATTATGACCCAGCATGAGTGGCCCACCTTGCACTAACAGAGCGGGTTTGTTTTTTCAGAATGAGAGCAATGAGTCAGGACTATGTCCATGGTATCGGAAGAGCAGCTCAGCCGGGCACCGGTGTGCCAATCAGTGCGGGATGTGAAGCTTCGCACTGATGCTTTAGTTCCTGAAACCAGTGTCTCAGAGAAAGTTGGCAGATGCAGGTCTTGAATTGAAGCCTGACCCGTCTCTGTCAGAGGTGAGCAGCACACCGAAGACGAAGACGCTGATGCTTCGAAGGCCCGAGCAGAGGAGGCTGAGCCTTACCCTGCAGCAACTGCAAGCAATATGAGCAAGAGCTTATTGGTCCTGCAGGTTGTGATTGAAAGCGACTCTGATGAAGTGTGCATCTGGACTTATATGTCTCGCTTTCAACGTCTCGCTTTTTGTTGCAACATGCCGTCCTGCAAACTCCCATGGCCTAAACTTGATCAGGCGTGTGCTGGTGGGAGACGCCTGTCCCGCGGGATCGGAAGCTGACACGGGCCGTGACTGGATTGGCTGTAGGGGCCATGGTATGGTGAGCTTGCATGACAATCCAGGTGAGTATGAAGGGTTCGGAAGATAGGCCTGCAGTAAGGATGGCTATGCGAGCGCAGATTAGATGAAGCACAGGCAGTACTTGACGCAAAGCGCTAGTCCTGCAGTCTGCACTCCCTATTTCAACTGCAGACCACAGCCGGCCAAAAGCTTCCGCTGTGAGCTTACTTGTTCTTCCAATCATGTCCTAATCTGAGACATGTGTTCCTGGTAGACGTCTCCTTTCAGCGCTGAAGCTTCCCTGGCTTGCATCGTGCGGATCTTGGGTTCTTTCTTGCGAGCGCCAAGACAGCCCTGGTCTTAATTGGACTCGCTGGGCTCTCCAGTCTTGGCTTGGCAAAAGCAGACGTTTGAATCGCATCGGCCTCTCTTACCGGAAGAGGACCACAGCGAACTGGAGCTGGCTGCGAAGCTGGACCCCGGTCACTTTGTACAGAACTCATGCGCATTCTCTTGGCACCCTCTGCAATTGTGCAGGGGGTTGTTGAGGACTAGGCTGCTCAGGTATTTCTCTTTATGTTGCTAAAAGCAGGCCCTCCTAGGGCTTCGGGAAATGTCACAACAGCTTGAGTGTTATCTGCGCATGATTATGACAAAGGAAGGCTGCAAGCCGCGCAATGCTCATGAATGGCGGCTCTTGAATTGAGTGTTTTGCCATTTCTCATGCACTTCGAAGATGCACTCTGGCAGGCGATTGACCCTGGATTGAACAGCGCCCTGACAGGCATCTCTGGGCAAGCACCGGCATTGCTGAACCTGCTTCTGGTCAGGTGTGTCCTCCTTCGGCTTTGGCGGCACCAATGGCCGATGTGACATTTGGGGAGCAGCAAGGCAGAGTTGCAGCAATCTTTGCTTGGTCTAACTCATCCCACCACCAAACGTTTTCTCGGACTTTCTATGTGTTTTGTTTTGTCTGTGCTTGCTTTGTTTACAGTGCGTCTCATATCCTCTTTTTTGCAGATTTTCGTGCTTGCTACGTTTGTCGTGTTAGGTGGGCTCGTGGACTTGCGCTTTTCGACTTTCTGCATTTCCGTTCAGCTTGCGGTCTTGCGCTCTGTGCATTCTTTGTGTGCATGTTGGTGCAGTCTTACTGTTATCGCTCTGCTGATGCCCGGGTTGCACTCCTGCTTTTGAGGGGGAGCAGGGGAGGAGTTGTTTTTATGGACCAAACAGGTTTCCGGACAAAATTCAAACCAAGAGCGAACACAGCCACAGAAAGCCACGTGGTAAACTGTAGTGACCGTAACAAAGTTGTGCAATTATTGCCTGCCCCGCCTAAACCATGGGAAGGGTAATAGATTGTGATGGCATTGTGAAATTCAAAAGAATCTCCAAGCTCCCATAGAAATTGTCACGTCACCGCTAGAAACCCTGTTCCATCGGAAAGCGTTCGGCGGCTTTGGGAAGTTTCCAAGGCGTTCTCCAGGACTTCTTCAGGCTCGACTCATCCCGTGACGTTCGGGGGCGACTGGAGAGAACAGGCGTTTGAAGTCTCAATCTGAGTGAATCCTGGAGTCTTGTGGGAGTTGCTACAGCAAATCTTTACCAGGTGCTAAAGACAGCGGTTGAACAAATTCTGTATGCGTGTCGGTTTAATCATGCGCGAAAATTGAAGATGAAAAATGGTACTGGTAGCGGCAGCTTCTTTGGTGCGAGGGATGTCCACAATGGGGAGGATCCTTTGAAATCTGAGACCCGCAGAAAAGATCATGCTCAACAGAAGCCTACTCTGGCACGTTATCATAAGCAGTAAAGGAACAAAGGATGTGGCTTGCGTGATTGCGCTAGGCTCACTTGCAGAAACTTCAAGGAATCCCTCCAAGCAGAGTGCCCAAGTCCCATAGGCACGCAGAAATGTGGGGCCTTGTAGGATACAGATATTGATCGCAGCATCTCTTGCACATCTTTCGAAGTCAACGTTTGGGCTTGCAAGCCCTGAGTTCTGCGACAGTTCCTTGCTGCGCGGATTCAGTTCTTCGACTTGTCAGATTTTGCGCTGGCTCTTTTCTAACAGCAGGTGAAGAGTAGTTTTGCAATTTTCTGTTGCTCGTGTTGCTGTTGCTTTTTGCATGTTGCGCCTTATTCGTGGTCCTGCATAAATCATCGTCGCGATTATCATCAGAACTTTCCCCCACACAAACTCATAATTAGGGCAGGAACATAGGAATGAGAAACATATGTTAAATCCTAACTTGGGCATATCCAGCCAATGAACTTGACCCATCACCCAGAAATCAGATCCATGCGGAAGTTTCGATTTCCTCCTTGCCAGAAACCATGGATTGTCTGTTTCGCCGGTTATTCGAAAGATCGAGAAATCATTTTTGCTGAAGGGTAGTATACCTGGTGCCCAAGAGGGGAACCCCACCCAGACAATTTTCCCCCAACTTGACTGGCGGATCCGTTATTATCTAGAATCCATGCTGTTTTGGGGGTTGGTCAGTGGGGTTCAAAATGAGAACAGGGGCCCCCAACTCCCAACTAGCGCCTGATGTTTCTTTGTGCGTATTCCGTTACAATGATCCAATTTTTGCTTGTTCTGCGTGGCGTGCTTTTCGTGCGCTCTGTCCTGACAGCGCTTCAAGGTGTGGGACTTGTTGGTATGCCTTGGAGTGCGTAGGCTGTGCTGGCGGATCTGAACAGATACTTAGTGCAACATGGTCGCCTTTCTCATCCAAGTTTGTCATGCAGATCGATGGTTTGCCTTTGGTTATAGAACCAGAAACAAGAAGAGGTTGTATATTTGTAATTATTGTGAAAGCTGCTGCTCCTAAAGCCTTGGCAGGTTCGGGCCCAACAAGTGTGGAAAAGTCATGGAGAAGGAAGTGGATCAGATTTATACTCTGTGTCCACGTCTGAACTGAAGCCAGCATGGATTGTTGCTTCGCTTTCCTTGCTCTTGAAACTTACTGGCTGCGAGCCCCAAGGTCCAATCACACTGGGCAAGATTGACCACCTGACTGGTGAGCCCCTGTCGCGGCGACTCTCGGCACTGCGGAGGATGGGCAGAGAATGAGCTCGTGATTTCAGGGCTGCGACGCCAAAGGATATGGACAATTTCACTTTGTCAATGGACTTGCATGATATGTTGAGTATTCGAGCTTTGTGTGAGCATGTGTGCTTTTCTAGTTGGGATCGAGGGAAACAACTGTCACGCTAGACCAGTTCTGAAATGACAAACCCGAACTGTGCAAATTAGCACTCAGCAGTGCAAAGTAATGACCACAGTGAGTAACGGATTTGCTTTTAAGGCGGGCCCGTGCCTGGGACTGGCAATTTTGTGTCCACCCGACTGACCTCAGGGGCAAGAGAAGAGCGGATGTCCTCCGAGATGAGCTTGCACGATATGATGTATCTCGGTGCCTCAGACATGGTTGATTCTAGCCGTGAACAGGTCTGCATGGTGCCAGGTTGGCATATGACGGGGGCTTCCGCTATCGACAGAGTGCCATTGAGATGGATGGTGAGGACGAGCTCCTGCCACGGACTCAATGTCCTAGTGTAGTCTGCCTTGTGGACGCTTGTACGCTGCATACATATGGTGTATATACATAGCGGGACAGGTCGCAAGTATAGGTCTCTACCCCTAAGACTTGTCGCTTCCGACTCTGCCCTGCCCGCACCTGTATTACCTCAACGTAATTTGCTGCCAACGGTTCCTGGCTCTTAGATTTAGAGAGCTTTTCGGCCTGCATTTCATGTGAGCCCTCTTCCCGTGAGATCTCTTGAGGGGAAGGCCTCTCAGAGGTTTCTGAAGGGAAGGGCCAGGCAAGGCCGGCTTGATGGATGAACCGCAAGAAACGGTTGGCAACTGCCTCTCTCAAGTAGGCAACTGTACAGGGAGGCGGCTGGAGCAAGCAGCAAGAAGGCAAGATGTCAGGTAGGTTACTTGTGAACCCGAGGGCACCTTGATAACCAGGAAGAGTATTGTACTGGACTTTGCAAGGATAGGGATACTGTAAGAGGTTTTCGCACAGGCCTTTCTCGCGGCTGCAGCACGGATTGTAGGGAGTATGGCGATGTAAGGTTTGGAGTCTCTCTATTGTTTTCTCCGTGCTAGCCAGCCTTTGCAGGAGGCAAGCTGGCTGTCTACAAGGGACCTGGCAAAACAATCCCACGGTGACAAAGTTCAAAGGTCCTAAAAAAGCATCGCGTCGCCGGGTCCCAGGGGGGTTTGCAGGAGGGTCAACTTGAGAGCTTGGCTAAATGAGAGCGTGGCCAGCAGGCGCAGCATATCACGTGTGTACGTCAGGCAGGGGAGAGGGAGAGTGAGAGCAAGCGGGTGGCCATTTTGGCTCAAGTCTCCTGCCTCTGCCGTGCCCCTCGTGGGTCGGTGGCATCGGGGCGGCCCGGAGGGGCTGTGGAGGGTTCTCTGCAGGCCGGCCGGGTGGACGTCCCTCGGTGGTGGGGGGGGGCTTGGGTGCCGTGGGCAGCCGTTACCAGACAGGGCCGCTGTGCCTGTTACTCCCCCCCTGCACTGCACCAGACTCTTCGCCCATTTGAGTGCCGAGCCGTTGCCTGGACACCTTCTAGGGAGAGATCTGCGACTGCCTACGCGTCTTCCCCGTAGAGGCTCGCCGGGACAACATAGTTGGGAACGGACCAGTACGGCAACCGCTGCTGTCGATTTCCTGCACGACCTGACGGAGCAGACATGGCGGCCGGACAGGAAGCACTGCACAAGTACAACAACTATTGGA